TCTTCAGTCTACCCTCCAACCAATTTTTCTCGATCTTTCCAGTGGATTGATATTTTTAAAATACCACTTTTCATTAAGATTTTACCTTGCTTCTGAGGTGGTTGTCTGCTAGAACATGTACAAACTCCTTGATGAAGCAATAGATATGGGGCCCCAGCTCCCATCCAGTCTGATTTCATGGGGCTCCTCCAGCCGCCATTCACCCCAACCCCCATCCTCATGCTGTTCTCTCACTTGGAATGACCACCCTCTTCTCTCCACTGACCTATGCTTCCCTTCCCTTTTGAACAACACAGGGGAGGACTCTCTTCATCACAGGAACTACTCCAGCTTTTTGTCCACTCATGTCCTGTTTCCTATGTCAAGCCCTTCCTCTGAGATTTACAGACCTTGGAAGACAGGACACTGTGTCTTATACATCAGTGTGGTGCCTCCTGGATTTAGCCCCATGCCTGGCTTTAAATTTTATTTATAGTATTTGGTTAACAAATGTTGGGTGACTTGGAAGTATTTTATGGTAATGAACTTTCAGTTCACCAGGAACTTATGGGAGGTGATATTGGCGATAGTTTGCCTCGGTCTTGGCTAAAATGCATATTTATCTGAAACCAAAAATTCAGCTGCTCACACAAAAGGCTCTCCTTTTTGCAGAGAGAAGGCCCACAGAAATGTTTTTCTTTTAATTTCTTTTAAAAACAAAAGAAAAAATGAATATAGTAACAATGAATATATAACACTGGGTTATATTCATCTTTGTAATAACACTAGAGGCCCATGCATACGTGCAAGAGTAGGCCTTCCTTCCCCCGGCTGCCGGCACCAGCTTTTCTCTGGCACCTGGGACCCGGGCTTCCCTGCAAGCCCCAGCTTCGCCCGGAAGTATGTCCAGCCTAATTAGCATATTATGCTTTTATTATATAGGATGGTCATTGATTTGATTTTTTATGAACAGAGACTCATGAAGGCAAAAATGCCTAAGGTCCACAAAAGCTCAAGATGGGCCTGATAGGAAAGCAAATGAAATGGTCATTGAGAATCTGGCCCTTCCTGAGCACAGCCCAATCATCTCCCTGCAGCTGCTGTTGGGAAAGGAGATGGCACTATCCCTGGGAGTCTGTCTATGGCTCCTGCACAGGGTTCAGGGTGCCCCTGGGCAGGCAGCGCGTCAGGAGTCCTTACCTGTGTAGAATGGGGAATATAAACAGATAACACAATCTCTTCTGACTTAAGGTCAGCTTCAGGCGCTCTCTCCAGGAAATGGCCATCTAAAGGAATCTGCCGTTCTCCTTCTATCAGAGAGATGACCTTGATTAGAATGCACATATTCAATTGGAGAATATCCAGCCAGGGGCAGAGGTGATGTATTGGGTGAAAAGACAGAGAGTGCAGGCCGGGGGCCAGACAATGCGGGTTCTAGCTCCAGGTTCCACGCTGTGTCTCCTTAGGGAAGTCGCAGAACCTTTGGGGCTTCTGGTTCCTCATTGCTGGAATGAAAGGGTTGGGCCAGATAAGCTGAAAGGCTCTACAGAAGCAACCCAGTTTCACAAATGGGAAATGGGGAGAATGTATTTCACACATGGGAAACCTGAGGTCCAGAGGTCCGGAGAGGTGAGATGACCTGTCCAAAGTGCTGAAGGCGGGACTAGTGGCAGAGGTGGGGTGCCTCAGATATAGCTACTTTTCTTTAAGCAGTTTTCCCTGCTTTCTTATTTGATCCACCATATTTTTTAAATGGGATTTTAATCAAAGACAGGGTTACAACAATAGTTCTATGAATAATATGCACTGCTTTTATTTCCTTAAGTACAATCATTTTCCCTTGGCAAGGATTAAACCGGTTGTGAATAAAGAGAGAAGTAATGAGTCATGTGCCCCACAAAGTTGATTTTGTTTAAAATGAAAAGTCCTAGAAGAAAAATTCCACCTTTACGAAACTCTGCAATCGGATATGCCATCAAACGTTGAAACCACAGAGATGCTCCTCAGACATTTTTTGATAACTGCTTCTGGACTGTGATGAATGTGACCAAACAGTTAAGAAAAATTATCTGGTGCAGTAGCTTATCTATGAGATACAGAATATCTAGAGAACAGGATAACTGATTTCAGCTTCATCCTTATGTTTGAGGGAACGTAGCTATCACCTATATGTATTTGGTAAGTCTAAGTTGGTTATACTTGGGTTCCCAGGTCATAGCTCATGGAAGGAGCTACCTGATATTGATAATTATAAAACAGAATGCTTAAAAGTTGGTCTCTTACCTTTAGATATCAGATTGATGGTAGCATTTCCTGCTGCTAAAATTGGATTTAGGTCAGAAAAATTCGGCCTGCTCACCACATGTCCTCCTAAAGTCTAAGTAAATAAAGGAGACACTTCTTTTTTAGTTACCCTTAGCTATTTAACAGATAAGCAATTATGCATGCAGGGAACTTGTGTAAGCTTTTAATTCTCTTCTTTGCTTCATAGAAAGATCTGGCAGACCGCTGAAACCGGTTTGGCTCAGTGGATAGAGAGTCGTTCTGCGGACTGAAAGGTCCCAGGTTCGATTCCAGTCAAGGGCATGTACCTGGGTTGCGATCGATGATTCTCTCTCATCGATGTTTCTGACTATCTCTCTCCCTTCCTCTCTGTTAAAAATCAATAAAATATATTTTTTTAAAAAAG